TAACAAAGACTTACAAACAATGGTACTAAAAGCTGCCTCGCTTAACGCTCAGCATTAAGAGGTTAATGTTAGGACTGGTCGGCCTCTTGTCAGGATAATGTGACTGGGTGGGACATCATGCTACATGTCTACGGCACGATTCTCCTGTGCTAGACATCACTATAAACTGCCACACTGCAGACATCGTAGCGATATTACTGAAAAATTGTTAAAGCTACGTTAAAAATCATAATCACATCACATTAATGTTAAACAAATAATAAGATGAAAGGAGAAACATTCTTCATAGTTATACAAAACAGACGATATTTCCTTGAACAAAAGGTATACTTCATCGATATGGGTGAATATACTTAAGCGTTTCACCTACTGGACAAAGTATATTCTTTATTTACTAAGAACAAGCAAATTCTTTTTAATTTATGCTCAAAGTGTGTAAAAGACTGAAATGGAAGATTTCTTAAGGCAATGTCAACTGCTCACTGTTTTAATTGCAATATAAATCTATTTTCTGTAATTTTAGGTCAAAAATGGCATACTAAGAAGAGAAAATTAAAGAAAAATATTAGTTTATAGTGGGATTGGAACGTAGTTCTCGTGCTACACAGGTCAATTCTCTACCATTGTACAGCGACTAATATTCTGTCGTCATAATATTATCAATGTCTATTGAAAAACAAAGTTCTTTAATTCACTCCAGTGATAATCTCGACCATTTCTTTTGGAAACTCCAATCATTCAAGGACTATCATCAAACAAAAAGTTATTTTATCTGAAATATATTGAGTATTGTGGTGGATAAATGCTTCAGATTCTAGTAAAGTCTTACTGTGAATGGAAATTAACAGTTTGCTTTTAAGATCTGCGAGAAACGTGACTTATATAAAATTTCCTAAATAAATGTTCTGTGGAGCCGTGATGGTTCAAAGTTTAATGTTTGCGGCTAGTGGCTGAAATGGTACTGGTTAGAATCCAACTCTCTGGTCAGCCTGTAACAGATGCCGTGATGTGCCATTCGGCAATGCAGTGTACTTCCGCCCTAGATAATCAATTTGTTTTTTGTACTATTAAACACCAACCATATTCTTGAGGCCATGGAGAAAGAAATACTTTTTAATTAAAATATTTGTGAACGGATTTAGTATACTTTGGTGAATTTTTACACTAGACTTTCCTACGAGTACACACATACACACACGCGCGCAGGCACGCGTTTAAGTCTATTAATTGTATGTTCGGGTTTACAAATATAGTTCGCCAAATTTCAGTAATGATAGAATGATAAAGAAGCATTTTATGTTGTCTTTCATACAAGATTTAGACATCCGTTATCATTTGTTATGCGCTATTTAAACAAAGTGGTGATAAAGTAAATATGCCTTTCATTTAATATGTTCCATCATTCACGTGACTGTAAATAAACAGCCTTTGATGTATTGGAATAATTACCTTATTATTATCCATAGTTGTGGTTAAATTGTATTTGCCGTAAGAACCCCAAATTTTACCAAATAACCCCAAATAGCTAGATAATCAGTACTCGATATAACATGCATCGATTTGGGTCAAAACAGTAGATCAAAAGTTTTGGCTAACTATGTTTTTGCAATTACCTATTAAGAGAGGTTATAACAAATACGATGATGAAGACATTTTATTTTGGCCATCACGCCGCTAACCTGCTTTAAATATTTCTTCATCTTATCAACAATATCTGCTTTTCCTTAATTGATAAATAAATTCTATCTCAAAGGAAATAGTTTTTCTACTTTGGACAGATCTTTTTCTTGGATATAAATATAAATTTGTATACATATTTTATTATTTTAGCTACCCGGTAAGGAGGCCAGTATAGTTAACCTATATACATTTTTAGAGAATGGCCTCTTTTCTGTGTGCATCTTTGATTGAAAGAAAATAACCAGATGAGAAATGTATTTATAAAAACTGTCTTAATGTTGATTATAAACCCCGTACAACACCCTGAAAATGATTTGAGCCTAATAAAAAAAAACTCGAACGTTAGGCAAGCTATAAATGCCATCAAAATTAAATTAGGGTCGTAGAACATAGAGGATATGATTTTTTAATCTGACATTGTCAGTATGAACGAATTCAATAAAACATTTCTGATTTTTTTTGTCTGAGCTTAAGCTTGTGTTTCATGCTCACAAACACTTCAACAATAACTTTCCAGGAAAAGTCGATTAATGCATTTACATTTTCTACTTTCTTTCAAATGATGAACCACTCTGATAGCAGTTAGTTCCATTCTTTTCAAATTTCTAAGAAAGATGACCTTACTGAACCGATGCATTGGCAGCCAAACTACGTATACCTAATACCAACTTTCACTATGTTCTTTGTTATTTGAAATGCTGAAAACACGTTGAAATTTACCAGTCTTATGTTTGGATATGTATGGCACATTACTTAACTGTACGTTCGATGTAAAAGCCTATCTGACCACATCATCAACTTGAAATGATGATCAACATGACACCTTAGTTAATTTTCACTCTATAATATATACACATTCACTTTGCTATAGCATCATTATCTTGGTCTGAAAAATTCTGCTATAATTCTGACTGAATCTTTTGATTTAAAGAAAATGTTATGCTAATGACAAGGCGTCATTACAATTTGACGGTCTCGTCCATTTAAATAAAAAACAACATTTTATGTTGTTTTACAATTTTTTTTAATTTAAAATTCATGACTGTTTTTATATTGCATTTCTTCTGGCGTAATGTAGAATAATATTGATGACAGTTGAACATCAAATAGCATTTTTTTCCTTCTAGTATAATTCACTACACTTCGTCCTTAGACATCAAGAACAGTTTCTTCTTTGTGCATAACTTGAAATTAGTGGACACTGTTGTGGTTTGATACATCGGTATGCATGATATTTGTGTAAATCTTTATTCCACGACATTTGAGACGTAGCATTGCAATAGCGACAGCTCAACTATGTTTCCATGTATTCATCTTTTCGTATATTTCATTCGATAATTTCGCAGGAATCAGTCTTTCATATTAAAATAAGATAACTCCTTCCTTAATATTCTCCGCTAGCCTTAGGGAATATTTCGCTGATCTCTTACTATGAACAATGATCTGTTCGACATGAAGAATAAACTGTTTCACTTTGTTCAGTTTAATATTGTAGTGCCTTCGGATACTTCGTATATACTCACTTGAGTTACTTTGTTTGATTTATCTACTGACTTTCTGAACACACGAATAAAATGATGTCTAAATTTGTCCAAGAATAATATGTACAAGAAAGGTTTTGTGCTCCCGAGTAGTAACAATGAACAGCGTAAAATAAAATTTAAATCTTTCAAACTGTTGTGGCCAATAATGTCATTGTTTAAATCAATTATAGAGCTCACGAAAAATGGCGTCCAGACGAAGAGAAAGGTCGCTGCGGCGACAGCAAAAGTAAGATGAATTTTGTAATTAGATCGCAAAAAATAGTTTTGATTGGATATGGTGTGCATCTGTGGCCTCTTTTTCACAAGAAAGATTTGAACAGATGCAATGGTGTACAAGACGGTACCAGCCGGAAGAGCGTATCCAACAATAAACAGTAAGATGGTATCAGCTGCATAAGCTGGCATCCTGACACTCAAAGGCTTACAGTTGATGGATACAGTATATGACTGATTGGTAAAATTATCAAATATTTTTACAACACGTTCATCAAACAGCAAATACTTCGGTATGGTGAGCAAAAATGAAACGGTCCAGATGACGATCAGTGACAAAATCCCGAATCGTTTCGTCCACTGGAAACTTTGGGACATCACAATCCGTCTCCTCATATCCAGGTTGATTAATGCAAGGGAGAATATCTGTGATTCGTTTACCATCATGGTTAGGACTTTAAAAAGCTTACATGACAAGCTTCCAGTTTGCCAGTTGTATATTGGGTGTGCCAGACTTGCGACATACCAAGGGTTTGAAACAGAGGAAACAAATATATCACAGATACAGACATTGAATATATGTATTAGGGCCAAGCTAGCCAGTTTTAGTTTCCTACAAAACACATAACACGCGATGACATTCAATCCCACGAAGAGAGCTGAGAGAAACGGAGAAATGACAATATATACGAGGTGGTTGGTACTGGATAACATGGTGTTGCTGAAACAAAAACAAATAATAATAATAATAATAATAATAATAATAATAATAATAATAATAATAATAATAATAATAATAATAATAATAATAATAACAAACGACAAAAGAAGTTTTCAACCCAAATTTGAGTATTGACATTTGGTTTGGAAGCTAGATATTGTTTTCATTCTAGATCATCCTGTTTGTATAAATTGCACGACTATTATTATCCTTAACCGCCTTATTTCATAATTTCAAATACACCTTGTTTAATTTGTTTTTGCATTCTGTTGACATAAGACTTATTTTTGTTTTACAGAGTTAAATATGTATGATTTTCCTCTGATGCCTACAAACACAATTGCAATATTGAGCAAACTGGAGGGAATGATGCAAATTGTTGTGTGCTACTTTTCCAGTAGGATCATTTGAAGGCATTTTGCAAATCACGCACTTAAAAGGACAAAATTATAAATTCCGAGACTTACAGCACTGGTATTCGCAATGAATTTGTGTTATAACTCTCCATAGGCTTACGGTGCTAGTAATGTTCGCTATTTAAATTTTACTTTTCTTTTATATCCCTAGACTGAAGGAGTGAAAAACATTGCTACCGTACGCTAGAAATTCTGGATATTTGTTTACTAATGTTGTATTCAATACGAATGCGCTGTTGTAAATAATAGTCACTGCTCCATAATTTTCAATACATTACACTCCTATAATGCAATTCAACTTTATATTTTGTTTCTTTTATATAAATTGATTCTACATTATAGTCTCAGAATCTTTGTAGTGTGTCCGTTTGAAACCAAAACATATTAGGGTCAGTCCAGTAACAATTTGTGAGACTTTATCAAAAT